CGACCCAGATGCAAGGGCGCTCGCAGCCAGCCGGACTGCACTGGGCCAGACGCCAACTCCGACAGATCAGCCTCCACGACTTCGTCTACCTGCTAAGCCCAACGTCCTGCAGGCCATCATCGAAGAGCAGATCGAGGAAGCCAACAACACCAGACATCAGGCGCAGGACAGGAGTTGGATATACCCAAACAAACCTCACGCTCAAGTGGATACATGGCGCACGCCAGCTCGCAGAGATCAAGCTGGATGATGAGGGCCAGCAGGGTTCATTAGCTCGGATGAGAGAACAAGGCAGAGGCGATCGCAACTCACCAGAACCAGCCCTACAACATACCAGCTCGACATCTACGAGCACGTCGCATAAACTTATTCGGCGTGGGCACTTCCGTGGGTAATCTCTCGTGCGTTCGTTGCATTGTCAAAGTATCAGGTCGACGCGACTCTTCGATATCATTAGGGACATTCCCCCGGGCATCCTGCACCGCGTGGGTTTCTTCAACGAGCAAGCTACACCACCGAACTCCTTCGAAATTCACCACCTGCCTGTGCTCTGGCGCAGCATCATGGCACCGCGATTTTCCATGCGACAATCGTTGACGGCGTTATTTGCGGTGTGTTTAGCACGGCGGGTGAAAAGCATCGAGGGGTACACGAACGGAGTAGTCGAGGCTTGAAGGGCAATCGTCGAGATGACTACTTCAGCAGTGGTATCGGTCCAACATGGCCTATAACTATGCAAAGGACTGTTGAAGCCGACTGGAGCAAGCGCTAGTTGCTAGTTTCCAAGCGTCGCAACGCATATGAACATCCTGGGACATATGCGCAGCCAAACTTGCCAAACTTGAGTGGCATCCCATTTCTTAACAACAATGGCATACCATTTCTTAACAGCAATGACTACGATATGCCGATCACGCTTCGTTCCCACTCACCATCACTCATGTGAGTAGACGGCCACGACCACCATGGCAGCTTTGACATCGACGCCCACGTTGACGACGTCACCACCAACAATTACGACCACGACGGCGACGACGACGATGAGGCAGAATCTGACGATGACGACAGCGACCGCGACATCTCCCACAACGACGATGTGAGCAAGTTGAAGCACAAGTTGTCGGTGCCAGTCAACATCGTATGTCGCGGGGTCGTCTGTGGAACTTCCGGGGGAAGAAAAAAAAAAAAAACAAAAAAAAAAAACAAAAAAAAAACGCCGCAGAGCGCATCCGACATGCGAGGAATACCGACTACATGCGACGCAGAATCGACATGCAACGCGAAAGGGTTACGTTTTTGCGCGACGCAGAAAAGCAGCATCATGGAAGGTCCGGGTTGTCCTAGAAGTTATGGCTGTCCCTTGGAAGGGGGGAAGGGGGAGGGGAAGGGGGAGGAGGAGGAGGAGGAGGAGGAGGAGGAAGAGGAGGAGGAGGAGGAGGAGAAGGAGGAGGAGGAGGAGGAGGTGAGGGAGGAGGAGGAGGAGGAGCAGGAGGAGGAGCAGGTGGAAGAGGAGGAAGAAAGTTTCGCACAGGAGGAAAAGGAGGAACGTTGAAAACGACTGAAGCCAAACCACCAGGCCTCTTTTGCACCTGAAGCCACGGACCCCCCCCGTCCGGACCCCCCCCGGTACGGACCCCCCGGGTCCGGGCCCCCCCCCCTGGTCCGACCCCCCCCGGTCTGGACCTCCCCTGGTCCGGACCCCCCCCGATGCGGACACCTCCGCACCTCGACCCCTCCCAATCCGAACCCCCGTCCAGAGCCCTCCCGGTCCGGACCCCCCCCCCGGTCCCTCCGGTCCGTCCGGACCCCCTCCCGGTCAACTGGGACGTCCAGACACCCCCTCGTCTGGACCCCGTGAAGAACCCCCAGGACCCAGGACCCCCAGGACCCCCAGGACCCCCAGAACCCAGGACCTCGCCGTTGGACCCCCATCGTCGTCGTCGTCGGCGGCGGCGGCCCTCTCGAGAGAGGGAGGCGGGGGCAACCATCTCGAGGCGGATCCAGCCGTGACCACGGGGGGGCCCAGGAAAACCACAAAGCGCCACCAAAAGCCGCGCTCCTTGCTCCTCGCTCCCCCTCCTCCTCCTCCTCCTCCTCCTCCTCCTCCTCCTCCTCCTCCTCCTCCTCCTCCTGTTGTTTTCAAACTGGGTCGTCGCTTACGCAAACGGGGCGCCCAACGTCGCACCCAACCAATCGGATCGAACCGAACTGGACTGGCCAATCGAACCGAACCGCACCGGTCGGACCGAACCGCGCGAAAACCGGAACTGAACCGAACCGGCGGCAGACCCAAGCCGAATCGGCCGAAACCGAACCGACGTCAAACCGAACCGGCCAAGCAAAAACGAACCGACTGCATAACCGCACAGAACCAAATCCAGCCGATCTTTTCTTGGAATTGCTTCTCGCGGCATAACGGCAGACTGACAAGCTGAACATGGTCACGACGATGCACGTTGACGATCTATTCCGCACCCGCACACATGAGTTCTTTGACTGGGCACGTCACGTCCTCTGTGGGAAAATAAGTTCGGCAAGATCACGGGAAACACCTTGCCACTCACCCATATTAGAACTTAAAATCATCGGCTACCATTCGGGGGCATCTTCCTGAATCAAGACGCCGACTTTGACACCGTCGAGGCTGCAACCTTCGATAACGACACATTGAAGCAAGACTACTTTCCTGGTACGGCTGCTGGACATCATTAGCATCGCTCTAAGTGCTGTCGGCTACTTCATCTGTCGCAGAGACGCATGGACATAAGTGCTGGAGTTACGCAGATGCAATCAGATAAGACGGCCCCAACGATTGGCGACCACAGGAAGTTGAAGAGCATACTGGAGCGTGCAAAGAAACATCGCGACAAGGCTGAATTGTACGTCGACAAGTTGACGGACCCTCTCAGATTGGTCAGCACCAGTGACGCGGCACATGCTCCCCAGAATACGTCACACGCACGCCAAGCTCAGGGATGGATGTCAATGAAAGATCGAGTGATACATTGCGATCATCATGGTGTTGTCCAAAGCTGCGACTACCAACATGTGCTTGGAGCAGCACGTCTGTTCATGGGCCAGTCGTGAATCAAAGAGGGTTTCCTACTGACGAGTCACGTAAAGACGGTGGCAGCCGATGGTAGATCTCAATCGGCGCAGTTCGGGGGTCTTCGTTAGAAAAAGCTACTCATGCGACTTCAACAGAATCGAGCGCCGAACGGAGCACTTGAACAGCTCATGGAATGACAAGGTCGGGGATGTTCGATACTGCCGATTGGCTTGGTCACGGATTGCTTCGAGACCTTTTCCAGCCCATCGCGGGCACGAGGGGAATCCTAGCGGACACGACGTAACGTTCCAGTATGTTGAGTCTTCGAGAAGATCGGTTGGCCGGACGCGGACGACGAATCGATCACTGGCCCACGGAAACGATGATTATGGGTGCACTGACGAAGCAAGGGTTGTTTCCACATATGCAGGTTTTCTTGATCAACTGCAGTATAAGACATGCGGTACTCTTCACTATGAAGAATGGCACCGAGAACAGGCTACACATGAGAGACCCTGTTGAGATATGAAGTATTTAGCACCAGGTGCCACCCATATAAACAAGTTACAGGTGACAGCTGGCATCGGTGACAGCATGGAGGCAAAAGACCAGAAGAACAGGCACTTTCAAAAGTCCGAGGGCATCGAGAATGTGAAATACGGGCCTTGACCGTTCAGGCTATGCTTCTGGCCAGTCGAATCCTGGAGTGTAAAAGTAAGGTGAAATCATAAAACAAACACGGCTTTGTATTACCACTCTGTGATGTTCTGGGTTTTCCTGCAATTCCAGAAGAACGTAACTAGAGTGAGATGTAGGATGCCTGGTAGGGTTGGCGTGGACCTCAGAGGCGCCTTAGGACTTAGGAGGCACCTCAGTCCGCCACGGCTGGACGCTGGCTTACCCGTTTTGCTGCTGGGTACGTTTGCCACGAACTCCTATAACTGATTATCATATTTGACAAATGCCGCTGGAATGCGGACTCAAGTGATTACAAGCCCGTTCCTCCTACGTACTCCTCTTTCTCCCTCTCCTCCTCCTCCTCCTCCTCCTCCTCCTTCTCCTCCTCCTCCTCCTCCTCCTCCTCCTCCTCCTCCTCCTCCTCCTCCTCCTCCTCCTCCTCCTCCTAGTCCTCCTCCTCCTCCTCCTCCTCCTCCTCCTCCTCCTCCTCCTCCTCCTCCTCCTCCTCCTCCCCCCCTCCCCTCTACTGCCTGCGCGTTGCCATGAGGCTCCCCTGCGCCCCCAGAAGGGGGCCGCCCGGGCGCCGCCGAGCGGGGGAACTCCTCGTTGTTCATCCCCTCTTCTTTGTCGGATTGAAGTAGAGCCATTTTTGTTTGTTGTGCACGCACATATAGGACTATAAATATATGTATGTATGTATGCATGCATGCATGTATGTATGTATGTATGTATGTATGTATGTATGTATGTATGTATGTATGTATGTATGTATGTATGTATGTATGTATGTATGTATGTATGTATGTATGTATATGTGTGTATGTGTATGTATGTATGTATGTATGTATGTATGTATGTATGCATGCATGTATGTATGTATGCCTGCATGCATGTATGTATGTATGTATGCCTGCATGCATGTATGTTTATATGTATGTGTGTATGTATGCATGTATATGTGTACGTATGTTTGTTTGTTTGTTTGTTTGTCTGTATGTATGTATGTATGTATGTATGCATGCATGCATGTATGTATGTATGTATGTATGTGTAGACGTTGTTCATGTCTAATCGTGATCATTTCTAAGTGTGCTCGTTTCTAAGTGTTTCTGCCCCCCCTGGTGGCCATGAAGAGGCCCAGGATAGAACAACTAGACATGAAAGGATACTGGACACCCTGGCAATCAAAGAAGTTTCGAAGAACTAAACATGAACAACGTGTCTATATATATATGTGTATAGAAAAGCAGAAGTCTGTTTTGGGGGGGCGGTCCTCCAGAATCAACTCCCGCCGCCTCGCCAGCAGATCCTCCAGCGCGCCCCCCTCCCGCAGCAGGCCGAGGCGGCCGAAGGAGAGCTCCACCTTGGGGGGTGGGGGGGGGGGGCGAGCGCGGGGGGCAGGGGGGAGACAGGAGGAGGCAGGAGGGGAAGGAGGAGCAGGAGGGGGAGGAGAGAAGGTAGGGGAGGACGAGGAGGAGGAAGGGGATGAGGCGGAAAAGGCGCGAGAAGGAAGGGGGGGGGGCGGACGAGGGAGGAGGACAGGGGACGATGATGATGATGATGAGGAGGAGGAGGGGGAGGAGGAGGAGGGGGAGGAGGACGAGTGCAGACCCAAGGTGCAACAACGATGTTGGAATATACCCTCCCTCTCAGAACCCTCTTCATCGGCACCTACAACGGTTCATTTCCAATGAGGGAACTGCCTCGTTGGGCGACAACCATTCGAAGACCCTGAACCGTGCCAAAACACCATTCGCGGGACTCCAACGCCACGAATCAACATGACTGCTGCGCCCTGACTCTGAACGATCCTGGACCGTGCCAGAGCATGATCCCTAGGACTTCAACACCGCGATTCTACATAACTGCTGCGCACTCACAATCCTGGGTCCTTCCGTGACAGAATGTCTGGCACGTTGATTATGGGAATCCGTGAAATTCTTGCACATGGTTAGGACGAATGAGCGCGGCACTACAGCGATAATCACACATTGAAGAGGATCCGCCCCCAATCCGTGAAACTCTTGCGAAGTTGGAGAGCGAATGCGCGCTGCGCCAGAGCGAGAACCACATGTTGAAAACGACCCGATTCAATCCGTGAAGCTCTTGCAAGTGTTGAAGGCGAATGGGCGCGGCGCTCAGGCGAAAACCACAATTTGTAAACGACTCGCCACCAGTCCGTGAAGCTCTTGAAAAAAACTTGAAAGCGAATGTGAGTGGCGCGGAAGCGAGAACCCCATTGGAAAACGACCCGCCATGCATCCTTGAAGCTCGTGCAGTTTCAAAACGAATGTGCGCGGCGCTACGACGAGAGCCACATACTGAAAACGGCCCGCCCTCCATCTGTGAAGCTGTGGACAAAGTTTAGATTTCAGACTCGTAAGTGGTGAAGATGTCTCAGGCGAAACGCTGCCGCCGTCTCGACCAGCCCCGGGGTGCAACAGGGGGGAATTATCTATAAGGAAAAAGAATGAGGAGGGGGATAATGATGGGGGATGACAAGGAGGAAAAAGGAGAACGCGGATGGAAGGAGGATGGAGAGGAGTCAGGAGGTGAACGCGAAATTTCGGACCGAAAAATATAGTGGGTCTCGTGCTCCCTCTCCTCCGCCCCTTCCTCGTCGTCGTCCTCCTCCTCCTCCTGCACCCCCCTCCTCGCCCATCCTCCCCCTCCTCCTCCCGCGCCTCTTTCCCCTCCTTCTTATCCTCATCCTCCTCCTTCTCCTCCTCCTTTTCCTCCTCCTCTCCCTTTTCTTTGATGAGAAGAAAGACAGGATGAAGATACATTCGGATGGATAGAAGTCGGGAGTCGAACTGGCGGGTCTGCGACACGCATCGGGCGCCGCGGCCGTTGCAGAACAGTCTCAACAAAGCCTGCTTGGCACTTCACACCCCGTCCCCGCCCTTCTCCAAGGTGTCCCTTTCCTGCTGCGGCGCTCTGCTCCCTCCCTCTCATGCGCCTGCCCCCCCATCCTCCCCCCCGGCCCCCTGGGGTTCCCCCCCTTCGCACGCTCCGCCTGGCCCCTCCCTCCAGCTGCCGTCCTCTGAGGCTTTTCGCCAGCCTGGCCTCCCCCGTGCTCGACCTCGGAAGGAGGCGAGGGGGGGATGGTCATGGAGGAGGGGCGGTTGGACATAGGAGGGGGGAGGCAGAGGGAGCACGGCGAGGAGGACGGCGCGGAGGAGAGAGGGCAGCGAGCTGGCCGCCCATCCCGAACCGAGCCCGCCCGAGCCCAGGTCAGGGGCCACCCAAGCTCCCAGCGCTCCTAGGGAAGTTTCTCGTCGCGATAACGTCGGTGCTGGTGCCTGTGATGGGCTTGCTTTCCACCGCCACCACCAGAAGTCGGAGGGGAGGGGTCCTCCTCCTCCTCCTCCTCCTCCTCCTGAACCTCCTCCTCCACCTCCTCCTCCTTCTCTTCGTCCTCCTCCTCCTTCTCGTCCTCCTCCTCCCTTCCCCCCTCTAACTTATGGTGGAAAGCAGGCCCATCAGGCTGGCACCGCGTGGATCGCCCAGCCCTGCACGACCGCGGCGCTCCGACCACACGTCGCGCCAAATTTGACCGGCGGATCCGCCCCGGCCACAGGCAGCCTCTGCAGCTTTTGAGCTCCCGCGGGGGGCGTTTGCCGCCGCGCCGGCGGCGGCACGGCGCAACCCGCAGACGTGCTGCAGCGGATTTCTGCGTGGATCTCAATCAACGCAGAGCCCCGAAACGGCGAGTGAAAAACACGGAGCGAATGTATCGCGTGGATTTGTTGTTTTTTAGTCTGCATGCCTGGCCAGGAGAGAAATCCGCACGGAATTCACCTTGAAGTCCGGAACGAGATTCTCCAGGACACCCTGGGCCCATCCGATCGTTTTCACAACGAAATCCGCTCTGCGATGTTGGCGCCGTGAAACATCACCCCTCCTCTCCGAGGCGGCGGCGGCGGGTGCTCGTAGGCGCAGCCCCCTGCCACGGGGGAAGGCGGGTCCTGAGGCTGCAGCGGGCCCTGCCCCCACTTCGACCCCGCCGTACGTTTGAAGTGGGCATTCTATTTCCGACAAATAAAATCGGAAATGATACACGTCGGTCGGAAGAAGTAGGTAAACACATTAAATAGGAAGGCGGATTAAGTTGAGTGGGTCCAGGCCCCCCAGGGAATAACATAACACAGCAAAAGCATGCCGATTCTTGAAGTAGGGAGGCGCTTGAAATAGATTGGGATCTGGGAATCCCGAAACACGTACTTTCAACGACGGGCGTGTAATGATGCGGAAAGAGGAGGGCGGATATGTTAACACAGCTGTGGCGGAAGCACTGGCTGCTCGGGCGGAATTCGGAGTCACAGGAACCCGACAAGTAGGGCGGAAATTCTTGCGCTACTGGCGACGCCGCCCAGAGAACGGCGCATCCGAAGGCAGGGTGGGCCCCTGTGTTTTGTCCACGAACCATCTCTTCAACCCGAACCAACTCTTGACGGCCCCGGGGCCCCGACAACCCAGCGACGGCGACACACACGAACTATCCTGGCGAAGGACCCAGCCATATGTAGTTGTGAGTGACGCAGTTGTGAGTACCGTCTCCGGTGGAGCTCCCCATGGGGCCACGAAGTGTGAGGGGTGCGCCGACATTGGGGGTGGAACCGCATGCGAACCTTGCAACTGAGGTATTCCATGGAACTCCCTATGGGGCTACGAACCGTGTGAAGGGTGCGCCGACATGGGGATGGAACCGCATGCGAACCCTGTCACTTTTTTTTTTATATATATATACATTTATCTATATATATAAGAAAAAAAAAAAAAAAAAAAAAAAACGAATACTGTACACAATTTCGACTCCGGCGCTCAGAAGCACTGGGCGAATTTCTGGCGTCCCGGGGACATACATACGGTTTGGTCGGTCATCCTTCGTATTTCGGGAAAGTTGGGGAGGGTTGGAAAAGTGGCGGGGCGCGCCGGGGCCCTGTGGCAGTCTGGGTCAGTGCTGGAGCGGTCGGTCTGTTGGTCAGTGATCGTTGCGCGCTGTGTCGGGTCCTCGGAGGTCGGGTCGATCGGCTCGGGGGCGTCGGGTCGGGGGTCGCGTGGGGCGTATTGGAGACGAGGTCGTTTCACAGATCGTTGGGATGTCGTCTGGTCCGGCATGGTACTGTAGGGTCGCCGCTGGGTCGTCCTATATTGGCGGCTGGGGGGGGGGGCTGGGCAAGCGGTCCTTGATGGAGTAACCGGACTGTGGGATCTGTTGTCGCGTGAGGTTGTGTTGATTCGAGCATGGTTTCCACCAGGAGGTTCAGGGGGGGGTGGAGGCTCTGCTGGCGGGGTCAGGGGAGGAGGGGCATAGGTGGGAGGACGTGGGATCGCAGAGGTGTGGTGAGTGCGGCGGGAGTGGTCATGCAAGTGCGGCGGGAGAAACGCACAAATTCGGATGCACAGCGGTAGCCGCGTCAGGTCCCGGGTGCGCCGTCCATGGCCACCTCGAGGGGGGGCTCCGGGGATGGAGCGGCAGTGTAGGTTGGGTTGGGGGGTGCTGGAGGGGCGTCGTGATGCAGATTCTCGACTTCGACCAAGCACGGCATGCCGTCGATCTCCATGCTGGTATTGTGCACGAAATTGTAGAGCTGATTCAGGTCGTCAATCGTGCCGCACTGGACCGTAATGAGGCGTGTGTTCTCGCTGCGCCAACGGTGAGGTCGAAGAGGCCCTCCCTCTTGCTGCATCTGCCAGGGTGTGCCGGTGAGCGCCGAGATCTGCACCATGAGGCGGTCCAGGAGGGAGTCCGGGTGACCCGAGGGGGCATCCGATACGATGATTGCAATGGATAAGGAGATGCGGCGCGCTTCTGCCGCAGTGGCCGGCGCGGGAGCTGCGCGTGCAACTGCCCGGCGTCGTGTGGATGGCAGGGCATGCGGTTTCGGCCACGTTCGGCCGCCCAAGATCGATGGGCGGTGCCGCTCGTGCTAGCATCCTGCGGGGTGACCGTGTTCTGGTCGCTGAGCTCCTGGGCCCAGTGTTCCGCCGACCACGTTGTCGTGAGCAATGCCCGACGTGCCGAGACGAGCACCACCTCGTCCATCCAGTCGATCATGGCCACAAGTGACGTCGGCGACCCCATGTCGACCACCATGGCCGTGCGGTCTGTGTACAGCGCACGTCGCCCGATGAGTGCCTTGCTTAATGGGTCCTGGTTCTTCAAGTAATCCACATATAGCTGTATGTCCAGGTCCGTGATGTAGCGCCCGTCAAAGAACCCAACAAAGTAGAGTCGCTGTACCGGGCCCTTGCTGCAAAGACTGCGCCGCGGGCCATCCCAACGAATCAAGCCAGGGAGCGCCAGATTCCGGAGCATGCCATGGACGCTCAACTCCTCCGTACCGTAGAAGTCCACGAT